TTAAAATCTTAGACCTCTGGTATTGGTTATTCTCTAATAGAATGGTTCAGAAGCCTTTACTACATTTGCGTCTGGATGTACCAGTGCATGAATCGCTGTCGGGTCCAATCCATGTTGAAAGCGGAATACCACGAGCATCAGTACTTGAAACACGAATATGTTTTCGTTTATTAACCGTATCACGCGCTTCTTAAGCTCGAACTGCCTGCTTTATACCCACGAAATGAAGGTGTGCAGCGTCATCAATACAACAGATGATATCACGCACGTCGCGACAGTCGGTGGGCTGGCATGCGTAACACGTGGCTGAGCCATCGGAGCTTGGTGCGTGAAATAACGGTGCTAAGCGGGTCATTTCCATTTCCTGTGCCATAAACAATGCATCGAACACGCTTGTTGCTCACGCGGTGTTCCCATCAGATATGAGCTAAATTGCGAAGGCACCGGTGGTCGAACGTAACTAGCCTCTTTATATCCGCTGCTTTAAGCGGCCAGGTTTCACAACCGTACAGTTGGGTCGAACGTACCGCTGCATTGTACACGCTACCCTTCAGGGAGAGAGTGATGTCGCGCTCGCGCCAAAAGTCGCAAAGTTTAGCGAAAGGGCCTCGAGCTTCTCCTATACGGTTGGTGATCTCAACTTCAATCCCACGGGCGCTGATACGACTTCCCAGGTAGTTGAATGTTTGAACGACGTCTAGCTAATCCCCACCAAGGGTCAGCGTAGGAGGCAATCCAGACTAATCTTGGAGGAACGCTTTGCACTTCGATGGTGCAAAGCAAATCCTGAAGTGAGGACAGCCAGTGCTAATCAGTCTAGTGCCGCTTTGCATGTTTGTGAGCTTTCACAGATGAGGGCAATATCATCAGCATACTCCAAGTCAAGCAGTCATTCTCCTGGGAGCAGGGCCACACCTTCTAATTCGTGTCATGTGAACGCGATTTCCATGACTTCATCAATAGCGAAGTTGAAGAGGAAAGGCGAGGGCAAGCATCCTTGTCTCACACCGCTGGAGATATTAACGGGCGACGACAGCTTGCCGTAAGCTTTCACTCTGCCCGAGCTACGCGTATGTAACGCTCGGATAATATTTACATATTTCTTACGTACACCTTTCCTGAGTAGACAGTCCCAAAGTACATGTCTATCCACCGAATCGAATGCGCCTTTAATATCGACGAACATGACAACGGTGGGCTGCCAATATATGTGACGTTGCTTTAACAACTGACGCAAAGTAAAGATGGGGTCGATGCAGCCACAACTTTGACAAAATCCGACATGCTCTTCAGGAGTATGGATTTCACAAGTGGCAGTCAGTCTGTGAAAGATGACAAAGGCCAGCAACTTGGAGGCGATGCAAATCAGAGTGATTCCTCTATGATTGCCGCATTCCGATCGTGAGCCTCCCATGAAAATTGGGACTCTGACGGAGTGGCTGCAGTCGGTTGGGACAGTTTCCTGCTCGCACAATTTCACTATTGACTTGTGTACATCATCCACAAGAGCAGGTCCCCCGAATTCGAAGAGGGCTGGAGGTAGCTCATCTGGTCCCGCGGCTTTTATTTAACTTCAACAATTCGGTCGCATGTTTGACTTCTGAGAGCTTGGGTGAACCCAAATGGGCAGCTCAGGGAGTGAACGATCAGTAGCCGGCGAGGAATCTAACAATTCCGGCCGATTAAATTGCCTTTCAGGTTGCTCGGTCGAACGCTCCAAGCCTTTTCACAACTTGTGGATAGGTTGCCCACTCTCGTCACAAATTGTTTCACTAATACCAGGTCTCCTGCTGCCGGATTCCCGTATCAGCCGGAATTACTTACTATGGTTATCAAGGGCAGCGGCCATTTCCCGCTCTGAAGCACAAACAGACTACCAGGATTCGCATTCACTCTTCGGGCTAGCACGGAACATCCTCCATAGCTTTTTGCGAGTTTCATGATGCTCGCTGCCAGCAGGAATATACCGGTGAGCAACGATAAGATCCAGATACTGCGAAGAGACCCAATGTTCATGTTGGCCATTAGACATACCACATGACGATTTTCCTGCTGCTAGTTGGATCTGGTGAATTTGATACCAGTGAGCTTCAATTGCATCCAGTGAGCGTTTATCCAACTCGCATGACAGCGTACTTTATTAGGCATTCCGAACAGCTGGCTTCGCCAGTTGGCTGGAGTCAATACGGGCACAACGTCGTCGTGGGTGTCCGCCAAAGACCATATGCAGGTCATCACATACAAGTGCATGGTCGGTGTCTACACAAATGCTCCGAATTGAGCGACAGCTCTGGACGCAGACCCCTATCAGTAAGTTACCGCAATTCGATCGATTTGCGTCCATAGCTGGTTTGAGGCTGGTTGGCGTCAAGTCACCCTCCGGCGGGTGCTGTGCCGGAAATTAGTGCATGCAAGAAATAAGCGAGCTTCCTCACACAAATGAAGTAACCGCTTAACGTTATCATTAAGGGAGCTTACATCATGTTTGCCACCCAAATGCAGCTCATATGTGAATACGTTTCCAACTTGAGCGTTCAGATCCCCAACCAGCACAACAGTGTCCAAACTACTTCTGTGGCTAAGGAGCTCGTTCAGCTGACGATGCAAGTCGTGCTTCACCGATTCATAGCGACAGTTTGTCAGTGCCTAGGCAGAGATCATGAATAGACTCCAGTTAGTCACACGCGAATTCGAAACTTTGGACGAGCCAGCCAATTGGACTGTACACATCCGGCTACTGATTGGAATCCAATCAACCAGAGTAGCTTTAGCCCGGGGACCCAGTGAAATACCAACACCAACTTGGCCGTTGCTCGAAGCTACATCGTCACCAAATAGGCGCAATAAGAAAGTACTGCTAGTGTCACCTGAAGGGGATGGCAGATTGAGCACAGAGCTCGAGTCTTGCAGGCGGGTCTCCGATAAGCAGCAGATATCGATCGAATGGGTCTCTAATGTTCAGACAACTGCTGCCTGTTGACCGATCTGAAGCAATGTGCGAAGATTGAGGCATGCTAATTTGAAGGAGGATCGAGGGCACCAAATGGAAGTCGATGAACTGGACTTCACCACTTGCTTGGACTTGGGCCTTTTGACAGAGCAGCAATGCCGCTCCGTGTTCACATGTGAGTTGAAACTAAAAGACTGGTGAATATTGAAGCAAAGTGGGGGAAGGTCGCGAATTGTGGAGTTAAAACCAGGGGGATAAATGTAAGGCTGGAACGCGACGATAAGGGTGAAAATGCGTAAGAGCTGGAATAAGAAGATGGGACATCTTGAGCAGTAGCAACCTAACCCCTATCCACATTGCTCAATGCAACAGATAGGGCACCGTTGATTACCCTCTGCGGTGGCCAGAGCATCAAGAATTTGTTTGAAGAGAATTTTGTGTATTGCGTGGGCAGAATGCTGTCTGGTTGTCCTGGCCTAGACAGGAGAACGAATGGGGTTCTCAACCAAAGCCTTTTGGTTAAAAGCCTGACACCAAAGCAGCGGGTTTGTCGTTAAGGTGCATGGAGTCCGTTTTAAGGAATAAGGAGTTCCTCTCATTCCAACCCACAACCTGGAGGACCAGGATGTTGAGTTTGTCTGTCCTCTAACCATGGACCAATCTGGTATGAGTGGCGCTGAACGTGCAAATATGCCCCACCCAGCAAAGCTCAATGGGTCACTGAGACACACAAACCATCGCACCACGGAAAGGTCAAACCTCATCGAGATGGCTGCACCATATTAGATGAACCATTACATATGAACATTATCTCGAATGTGTTTAAGAGATTTCTATGTCGGTCACAATTATCAATCCAATTTTTCGCCTCCTGTGTGTGAACATTAGGAGGAGAGACCAGTTTACCAACATCCCACTTGCGCCAAATGATCTAACATGCCCGAAATATATGCTTTTCAAGTATTCTCATCAGAGCTATACATTTATGAGGCAAAGGAATATTCCTCGCACATTTACATACTCCTGACTCAAATGAAAATTCTTTGAAAATCCCATTTGCTGTCATTTGTTAGGCATTTACGCTGCATTTAGTTTATACTACCTACACTTCAGGGAGTTCACCGGTGTAAACCTGATTTTGTCAAAATTTTATGCATTTTGTGAAATTCACCATAACAATCCTATGGGACCTTTTAAACAATCACACATTTCTCGGTGTTAAATCATTATTTCATTTATCCAACTATGTGAACATCTTTCAGTCGTGGAATCTTCGCGCACTCCGGATTTTCCAAACTAACTTACATTGATCTTTGCAGCCACCGGTCGTTCACATTCTTACTTACTACACGTGCCCTTTTACACACTTATCCTTTAAGACACGCTAACAAGCCAACATCTTCTCTCGCTCATCCGTTCCAAATTTATGCAGCTCATACTAACAAAGTTTGATTATAGGCACTGTAATGTTTCGCGGCATTCCTGAACTTTTCACGCAAATGGAGGTTTATGGATGCTACTAATATCCTACTGACATCTAACAACACACCTGAAACTTGATAACCAACATTACCTTGCGAGCTTAACATCCGGCACTCAACCACTCTTAATGCTCTGAGCACTTAACTTTGTTGCATATATTAGTGTAAATTCCACTAGTATGGCATATCCATATTTTCGAGCAGATATGCAGGTAAACTTGTAATCGTCAAACCGTGCACAGCGTAATGGATGTAATTTTGTCTACTAAGATTTGGTTGAACCTAATTCGTTTGCTCTATTAAACGATCGTTTCGCTATCAAATACATATTTACTAAAACGCAACGAAACACGCGCAGCAAGCATCATTAAACATGAGGTCTTACAAAACGACAGCCCACATTATCTGTCGTCCATACGTCAAAATAGCGAGGTTCCGCATCTTGACAATGAAATAAGCTCGAAGAAAGTAGAAGCGACGATTAAAATGCACAATAATAATAATAAATAAGCGTTTGCCCATTTATTAACCATTAAAAGAAACGAAACTTTAGATGCATATGTATTGGTCAGAGTTTGCAAGCTTTGCCTTCATGTAATCTCCGGCATTAAGAGACAAAAGTGTAAGGAAGATCAACAAAAGATGCACTGTCATTTGCTGCCGCATGGATAGCTGTCGTCAGTGAGCAGAAGTTGCGGTATGTCCTTATTCTTGGATTCAATTTCCCCTTTGTACTCTATGCATGCAAGCACGTTGCATTCCTCGTCATAAAGCTTGTAGCTAGTTTCGCCTTCCATCTGAAATTGGAAATGAGTGGTTTATTTGCCGATGTTGTAAACATATCTCAAAAGGATCATCCCTAGGCAAGCAATACATTTGGCTCCTCATCATTAAATAAACAGTCGAATGCAGCAACCGGTACAAGTAAATACATACCGAGACATCCGGTACGAGGAAATTCCTCTTATACGTGTATACACCTCCTTGTTGCAGCGGACATCCAGGATCTATGAAGTCGCAGATATCGCTAATGTCTGCAACTTCGCGTAAGCAACTCTTCGACTGTGAGTCGCTGAGGCAAAGTTTCGCCTTCCCAGAACGAACGATTCTTTCTAAGCACAAACAATGAACAAAAGTAATCATTTAAAGCGAGAGTTGGTGCATCCAAATTCAAGGGCAACACTTCAGATCAGGTACATAACATTCGGAATGGTAGCTAGCTGTGCGGTCGCGGCATTGTTTCGACTTACTTCAGTGTTATACAAGATACTTCATTGAAAACCAGAAATGTGAACATCTCAAGAACATTAAATCGGAGCCAAGTGGCATGACATAAATGTTGCACATTTTTCAACAATTGATATCATTACGGTTTTATCCAAATAGGAAATTGTTGGCATAAATGTGCAAATATATTGAAAGAATTTCTTACTTGCTTGGAAAGTGATTTGAACATTTACAAATGTGTCTCCAGCAGCGACGCAAGATACTTGGCTGCAATTCGACACAGATGCGCCGATAAGCGTGTTGTCAGCAGCTGTAATACGCAGAAGATTGCGCAAGAGGGAAATGAGAAAAATGTTAGTATTTTAATGGGTTGAATTTCATGCTATATTTGGTGAGAAAAATCCATCGAGACCATTAAACGCATATCTGTAAATATGCGAATATCTAAAACCGGGTTTTAACTCGTGAAAAGTAAACATGCATTGAGTGGAGTGCATTAAACTAGTGGACTCACAGCAGTCACTGTAAAATCTATTCGCATGCAAAACAGCAAACTGAGCAGTGAGTAGGACAAAAATCACTGCAAAATTTGTGGTCTGCATAATCGTTGGGATCTACCCTACGCAAGTTAGGAACGTCAATTTTATACTTATCCTCATCTCATTGTTTATCTGCAAATGTGTCGAAAACTGTATCAGTAGCCACGATCGACCCATGCTACGTGTCCGCTTAATGGTTCACCATGAAGAATATGCTTGTCACGCGTATTATGTGTTGTGAAATCTGCGCCGTTGACTTTAATAACAATATTGTGGGACATATTATCAATGTGAACATTGATTACTGATCAGCACAATCAATTTAATTGTATTTGTTGGCATAAACAGCAAAGTGAAATATTTCGCATGCATTCGTATAGTGTCCTTGAAATAGATTTCCCTGTTCAGTTTCTACACAGTGTGCCAATAGCCCAGAAGCAGCTGACGTCAGTCCGTGGATGGTGCAGGATTCCGAGGCTCAACCGAGGTATCCAGAAAGGAGGATTAAGGAATTTGTTTTATGCATATGATGAACGTCATCTCTAAAATCTACATTTAAATACTTCATTTATTTCAACGATTATAGCTCATGCAAAATAATATTGATTGGAAAAAATGTACGGCATAATCTTCCGGTTATTATCAATTTTTGGGAATATTACCATTTACCAGCAATGGTCGGAATGTGGAGTAGGTTCCGTTGTCATTATTTTGCCTTCACCGATGATGTTAAATTGGAATTGGATATTGTACATGCATTGCGACAACAATTGTTCTGTTTAGCTAATGGCATACCAATATGGTTTTTTCCGTGCGGCACAAAGTTCGGGCAACACATTAGTTCAATGTGGTCCTCGTGTATTCAGAAATTAACGGTTATTATTTATTCATGTATAAATTTAGGCGCTTTGTAAATATTTGCAACGGCATTCTCCAAATGGTGCATATGTATTTTGATATCCTGTTACCATTTGCTGTTTAACCAAAATCAGAAACCTACACTGCTCCATGTTTTAGCGAAATAAGAAATTTACTCTGAGAGACCAAATACATCACATTTCCGACTAAGTTTGAAGGCTCAATATTCACCTAAGTCACTCTCACTCTGCAACACTCCAGGGGTTTTCCACGCTCAACGCTGTCACCACGAAATCCTGATACGCAATGCTGGGCGTATAAATTAATCCATTGAAAGATATCTCATGCGACTAGCAAATATACACCAGCATTTTGTGCTGTTCTTCCATTGATATCCTTTCTCACTCCAACCGCATTAACATGCGATAGAACACTCAGCGTTAAATATAGAATTACAGCCTATACATGTTCAATGTATAAAATTTCCAGCAGATTTGGATATACAGGTTAAGTTAATAAAACCTAAATTGTTACTGTGTCATGTACTGGAATCAGAAGACAATTGCGAATGTGAAGTGTTATGCATACACCTCTGAGTAGAGCTACCGGTCTGCTATGGCTTTATGAGACAATAGAATCTCAGCAATGTTTTCATTGTCGCAGCACTTCGACTACGTTTAACCGAAGTCTTTTATTCTGATGATACTGTATAATGCCTCAATGCTTCCATCGACGAATTCTAAGGTGTCACACAGGTTCTATTCTTCAGTTCCATAATTTTAGCTAACCACTTTGCCAAAGAAAGAGAATGGGAGATACTCAGATGTAGTATTGTTAATGGAAATGATCCTTCTTCATGTAAATTGCGTAAACCATATAATATGGGAACAATGGCACCAAGGGGACGAATTCTGCTAAATCTTATGCATCCGATCACCCATCTTATTTTTCTGAGAGTTAGTTATAGCCTTCGCAGTCGTCAAGTGTTCATCCTTCTCATTTAAGTCTTGTACGAACTTTGAGCTATTCTCATGTAATACACATATCTGATAGTTGTATCCATATTTGTACATAAAAACATCCCCTTCATTTTTGTCTAGACGCGAGAGTGTATTCCCCTTTCTTTCCGTGGTGTCTATGGCTTGTCTGAATGCTCTCTTGTCAACAAATGCCTGGCTGCCATTCATGGTTTATGTGCTGATAACTGGATTGGACCAGGTTGGTCTCAATTTTTCTAAACTTATTTCGCATGTATACACCTATTTCATTAACTGTACTTAAAGCATTTCAAAATTCACTTCTAGATCAAGCCGTGTGCATGCTGATTTAAGGCAGTCGTAATTTATAACTAGGGATAGTACTTCTATTGTAGTTCCAGCCAGCCGCCATGAGAGAAGCCTGTGAACCAACCGCTAAGGTTTGACCGGAAATTTTATTCTGAACTTTACTTAGTTGACCTGCCTGTTCAGTTTTAGCACCTCTACCTGCTGTCATTTTACTGACACTCGCTGCATATACGATGTTATATTTCCTCATCAGTTACGTAATCCAAAGCTAACGGTGCGTTCCGTCACAATCCTGTCAAGTTTGCTTTGCTGCGTCCGCTCTTTATTCCCCTTCTTTAATGCCTAACGCTTGCTCAGAGCACAAAGAGAGAACGCTACGGAGGTTCCCCATGACCGATGCAGTTTGTCAGAAACCGAATCTGGATGTTTGCCTCCGAATACTGCGCACAGAATTGAATAAATTTATTAAGCTCATTGTGTGCAGTGGTATAATTGGTTTGTTTAAACGTTGGATAATTCCCGATTAGCCATACGTTTGCATACCACGGCATAGCAGACCAGCTGGTTTTCGGTGATTTTCAGCAGGCCAAATACGACACATTTGCAAAGGCAAGATAAGAAAGTTTGGAATGTGTAGACAGAAAATGCAAGTGTCAAAATGCTCATGCTATTAGGTATTCTTTTACTCGGCAGCTTCACTTGCGATAGCTGACCAGGTTTAGGCTGAGACTATGCCAAATTGTTTATGTACACATAATTTGGGGTTGTTGGGGAGAATAACGCCCACTTTCGTCAATTAAATGATCGTGCAGTTGATAGGTTTCATAAGTTGACACCACAAATTTGTTGAAACTAATACTACGCAAATCACCTACTATTATTTGCAGAAGCTGTCATTCCCCTGTCCGCAATGTACTCTGCCCTATGTTACAGTACAATACTGTTGCAGAAACTTGTTCAACCAACAAAATTTGAAGCAGCAGTACCGGCTTCATTCCAGATGTCCGTATGAAAGTATAACCAGGATATGCGAGATTTCATCCTGAAAATTAGGACACTTGATAATCCCAGGTATTTCTGCGACCAGTTGCATAGTACACTTCGAGATCGTATGGTCGCTGTTGTCATTCATTCTTACATGCAACGGAAATTATTAGTGACACTTGTCTGACTTTGCAAGCTGTCAGGTCGTTCTACTAGCAATGTTCAGATGTCAGCAGCCATGAGAGAAGATCCTCTCATGTATTTTACCTCCGGCATTAATTTGCATTAGAGTAATCGGAAACCACAGCATTTTGTAATGCATGCTGCTCACAAAGTTACACACAAAAAGATTATTACCTCTTTTGATAACCGTTGGAAAAACTGTGAAACTTGTGAATATAAACATTGCGACGGACTGCAATTTTTGCAATTCCAAGTGTTGTAGGTTCGGAAAGTGTGACCCTCTTCAATCTGTTGTACAAATACATCTTGGGTGCATAAAGCTTCAAGAGAACGGCGTCCCTAAGTCGTCGTCCAGTCCAGTGCTCTTCCAGTTTGTTCGTCTGATCAGTATTCCAACAGTATCAAACAATTTGTTGTAAATGGGTTATCACAACATGGATTCAACATCGGTACCCACAGTGTAGAGTGGTTTATTCATAACTCACATGTTGAAAGTATAGTTCCCGAAACCCAACTTAGATTAACTACTATCTTTGTTATAGAAATCAGTAGACATCCGATTTCAAACGGTCAGTCTAATCGGATCAACAGTACATTTGTTGTCATGGAATCTGGCCCATCCATCAGGGGCATGAAGATCATGACAGGTTTACATATTCCGTTTTCGATGTTTGCTGACACAATGGTGACACGTAATTTGTTCGCTTGTCACAAAATGACCTAATAATGCAGGTGACATACGTGTGGAACTCATCACGCTTTATATACAAGGCACTCATGTGTTCGTGATAGGACGAACCATAACATTCGGTATTTGGAAGCCTGTCATTAAATCACCAGGAAACATTGATTTGAGAGCAAATATTCAACAACACGTTGGGTGATTAGAATATTGGGATCAATCTCAAAGTAGACTTCGATTCACATTAAAGTGCACTTTGGTCACCGCGATCACTGGGACCGTGGCCGAAGCAGATTGCGCGTCGTTATTCAATAACGCAACGTGGAGTCCAAAATTGGCCTCCTAATCAGTCATTCAGAGTTCTTCAACAGACAAGTGTGTCCGATTGGTTTTCTAACCTCCATTTGAAAGACACTTGCCAGCGGATTCCTCCTAATGAAAATTTCAGTGCTTACGTCGCGAGTAATACATTACTTCACTACACTTACATGATACTTTAAATCGATGTGTCAGGATCCGCTTTCCAAGGTGTTATGAATTCTGTGACAGGCAGCTTAACAGGAGGACCTCATTATACATACGCACACGAATTCCATTCACGGAGAGAAACGTATTGCCCTGTCAACAAGGTTTTGCTCATTTAATGCGCAAGTGAATCCGCGGGCTGCATTTTTGGCACAACAACGTTTGCTGTCTTTGTCATCTACATGGTGAAAGTAGTGTTTGTTCAAATCCTGCTCGCTTTCTGCTGCTCTCCGAAGCAACAACTTCAACGAATCTAGATTAACGTCTTTCACTGCTAGGTCCTTGCAGTATTAGTCATGATTAACTCCAACTTGCTGCAAAGACAAAGACGCTGGTTGAACTGCATTCGAGAAGTAACAAAACTTGGCCTA